AGGGAACAAAAGCTAAGTGAGCACAACCTCAGATTTAACCACCACTCATGTAAACAAAACACAAAGCTGACAGACTTGGTGGGGGGGGGGGGGTCACCTAGTTTTAAAACAATCCCACAGCCAGTCAAAGCTGCCTTCAGTGCCAGGGACCGTCCTCAGTGCACTGGAACCTCTCTGCTGTCCCCTCGAAAGAAATCACAGTGACAAGGTAGGATAGGAGGGCCACACTAGCCCCCTGCGCTGTGGGGGGGAGCTGCATGCATTCCGCCACAGTCATGTACCAACTGGATCAGCCCTCGAGGTGACTAGCAAGTAGGACCCCCCCCCCCCCCCCCGGACAATGCCCAAGGGCTCAAACCCAAACCCTAAGCCTCTCACTGGCGTCAGGCGTCTCCCTGGGAGACACGACGCGCATGCGGCGCCCCCCCTCAGTCGCTGACACTCGCTGCTGGGTGTGCCGCCCTGGCGGGCCGCCGCGAGTCCAGGTATCCGGCGATGTACTCGCAGTTCTGGTAGATGAGCATGCCAGAGAGTGTGAGGGCAGCTCCCGCGCAGCTCAGCGCTGACAGCTCGCTGCCGAACAGCAGCTGCGACAGCAGCAGGTTGCCCACCACGGAGAGGTTCCCCAGGATGTGCAGCGTGACGGCCGAGGTGAGCGCGATGACGCAGCAGCTCGACAGGTTGTACAGCACAGAGCCCAGGCAGCTCAGCCCGATACAGAGCCAGAGGCGCAGATCGTAGTGCCAGGGCGATGCCAGGCCTGCCCAGTTCTCCAGCAGCAGCGCCGCCACGGCCAGGATGCAGAAGCTGGGAATGGCCATCAGGTAGAGCAGGAACACCGAGGGGATCTTCTCTTCCTGGAGCAGGATGCCTGAGGAGACACAGATCACACAACAGGATCATGGACAGATCGCACAAACAGATCACACACAAGGATCTCGGAGAAATCCTACACATACAGATCACAAACAGATCACCACACAGAGATTACATACACAGATCACACATACACTATATGGACAAAAGTATTGGGACACCTGTCCATTACATCTACAGGAATTTTAAGACATCAATTGTAAATCTATAGGGAGCTAGTCCCCCTGTTGCAGTTATAACAGCTGCCACTCGTCTGGGGAGGCTTTCCACAAGATTTTGGAGTGTGTCTGTGGGAAATTCTGCCCATTCATCTAGAAGACCATTTGTGAGGTCAGGTACTGATGTTGGATGTGAAGACCTGACTCACAATCTCTGTTCTATTTCATCCCAAAGATGCTTGATGGGATTGAGGTCAGGGTTCTGTGTGGGCCAGTCAAGTTCTTCCACACCATAGTCACCCAACCATGTCTTTATGCACCTTGCTTTGTGCACTGGGGCACAGTCATGCTGGAGCTGAAAAGGGCCGCCTTCCCTAAACCGTTCCCACAAAGCTGGAAGCATAGAATTGTCCAAAATGTCTTGGCATGCTGAAACTTTACATTTGGCACAATGCAGTCAGGCAGGCAGAGATATGTGACTCCTCTCTCCAGAGAACATGGTTCCACTGCTCCAGAGGCCAGTGCTGGCCTGCTTTACACCACTGCATGTGACACTTGGCATTGCGCTTGCTGATGTGAGGCCTGCATGTAGCTGCTCAGCCATGGAAGCTCATTCCATGAAGCACTTTGCGCACAGTTTTTGTGCTGGAGTTAATGCCAGATGAAGTTTGGCGACTTTTACACACTACGCACCTCAGCACTCACGACCGTGGTCTGTTACTTTATGAGCTGTTACTTTACGAGCTGTTACTTTACGTGCTCTGTTACTTTACGTGCTCTGTTACTTTACGTGCTGTTACTTTACGTGCTCTGCCCCTTCGTGGCTGAGTTTCTGTAGTTCCTAAATGCTTCCATTTTGCATTAATACAGTTGAGTGTGAAAGATCTAGCAGGGAAGAAATTTCATGAACTGACTTATTGCAAAGACGGCATCCTATGACTATAGCACGCTTGAATTCACTGAGCTCTTCAGAACAACCCATTCTTTCACAAATGTATGAATCCACACTGCATGGCTCAGTGCTTCCTATTCACCTGTGGCAATGAGTCTGAGATAAACACCCGAATTCAATGATTAAGAGGTGTGTCCTGATCATTTTGGCCATATAGTGTGGATTACACACAAAGATCATCACACACAGAACACACACAGATCACAAACATCACACACAGATCACGCACACACATCATACACACTCTCACACAAAGATCACATAGATTACATGCACTCAGATCACACACAGATCTTGCACACCGATACCACATACACAGATGACACACAAAGATCACCACACACAAAATTTCACTCACACAAATCACGCACATTTATCATACACCGATAACCCACAAATCACATACACACATCTCACATACACAGATCACACACATAAACAGATTGCACACTCAGAGTTCACACATACATAGATCTTTCTCACATATAGATCACACACACACACATAACACACAAATCACAAACAGACAGACTGCATACACAAAGATTGCACACAGACCACCACCCACAAGTTTTGCACGCAATGATTATACACAGACCACATAAAGATCGCCATACTCAGATCACATACACCCAGATCCAGACTTGGACATTTCAGGTACAGAAAGTAAAAATCCAGACTAAGATTTTGTTTCAACCAACCAGTTGAGAACTCAGTCACAACCAGTTGTGACTATTTATACTCAACTGTTTGATTGAAACAAAATCTTGGTCTGGATTTTTACTTTATGGGCCTGAAACGTCCACCAATGCCCAGACCTCACACACAAACAAATCACATACACAGATCACACACTAAGATCACCATTGACAGATCACACACTAAGATCACAGATAGATTACAAACACACAGATCTCAAAAACCCACAGATCACACACACATCACACTGATCACATACACAGAGATCTCACACATGCATACACAAATCACACACATGACACAGACATCACATACATACATCATACACAGATCCCACACACATACACAGATTACACTGATCACATACACATAGATCTCACACAGACATACACAAATTGCACACACACGTAGATCATACACACACACATAGATCACACATACACAGCTCATACACATAGACTACCAGTCAAAAGTTTTTGCGCAGAGATTTTCTACATTTGCATGTTACTCACATTTACTAAAAATACATTCAATATTCTTTGATAACAAATAAATTTACAGTATGTTTACCAAATGAGAACCTTTTTTAGAAAGAAAATGTAATATCTTTGATTCATCAAAGTAACCTCCTCTAGACGTTATATAGCAGAGAAAATTCAAGACATTCTGTGTACAAAGGACATTAAATACTAGTGCATTCAAAGTTAAAGGGCAGCCTGGAATTTGACCATGCTGTCACCACACTACCAGTTCATTTTAATACTTTGGCTGGTAAATTTTAATACCAGTTTAGTTTAAATACTAGAACTCGTGGCCATAAGTGGAAATTAGCGGGAGAACATTTTAAAACAAATTTGAGGAAGCACTTCTTTACACAGCGTGTAGTTAGAGTATGGAATAGTCTTCCTGCTAGTGTAGCGGAAGCTAAAACCCTGGGTTCCTTTAAATCAGAGCTAGATAAGATTTTAACAACTCTGAGCTATTAGTTAAGTTCTCCCCAAACGAGCTTGATGGGCCGAATGGCCTCCTCTCGTTAATAAATTAAGTACATTTCATATGTTCTTATGTAGTTAATAGGATGTCAGACAAGCAGTTACATACTCTTTCCTTGTTATATTGGAAACTTGCTTTAGTTGACATATTTTTATTTATAGCTGTTCACTCAACTTTCCAATGATTAACAAGAATTTTAAAAATCTTCAGTTTAATAATAAATGGAAAAGTGGTAAAAACCTGTGTTGTGCAAAGACTTTTGGCTGGAGTTGTAGATACACAGACACACAGATACACAGATACAGACACACACAGATACACAGACACACACAGATACACAGACACACACAGATACACAGACACACACAGCCAGCACACCAAGGCCTAGCCGACTGCCCTCTATCGGAGTGGAACAAACAAAGTAAAACGCAAAGTTAATCGCAGCAGCATGATGTCAGCCAGCCTGTAAACAGACGTGTAGTCAGGGAACATGTGGCCAGCCCTCGCGGGGGAGGGGCCAGCCCACTGCATCAACCACAAGGGCGGCATGAACGGGGCACGTCACACGGAGCGCTGTGATTCGCAGTCACTCCATCTCCAGATAAACACGCACGGGCACGATTGGTGCGTGTCCTGAGAGGCAATACCAGGCTCCAAAATAGCACGTTGAAAGCTGAGCCAGCCCTCGGACTGCCCAGGCTGTGCTCAGAAGTACCACCTTAAGGACTCGGGGCTTTTCAAGGGTGATCAGAGAGGGTGCAGCCTCGGACACGCAACTCCAGTCATACTGCATTTTCGAGCCATGGTTACGCGACTTGGCAGGCAAATAATGAGGAATGAAGCTGAATGGATCTGAATACACGTGACCCTCACAACAAGGGCTGGGCTGAGTCTCCATGGCCGCGGATCTCCTGTGTCGCCCTCTGGTCACACTACTGTAATTCATCCCTGCAGGCTCCCACTCAGCCTAAGGCTGTACATGGGACCTCAGTCGAGGGAGAAATCAAAGAACGGAGGGTAGCAAGAGGTACATGGAAATCAGGATACAATCAGGCTACAATCAGGCTACAAGCAGCCCACCCCCCCAAAACACACGACAAAGGCTGCGGAAAGCAGCCAAAGCTCTCTCAGTCCCATACCGAAAGCTGCTTATTTAACATGTGTGACGTCTAAATGGTGTTCCTCAGAAAAAACAGACACGAGAGCATGCGGGGGAGGGCAGGATGGCCCAAGGCTCCCACTCACTCTGCTGGATAGACTTGACCCCCCTAAGCATGGTGGCGGCGAAGACGAAGAGGCAGCCGGTCTGGTCGAACTGCAGCTCGCCCATGACGCTGAAGGAGGCGCCCAGGCAGATAGGCATCATGGCCGTGTACTTCAGGGCGTGATGCTGCTTGCCAAGGATCAGCGTGGAGATGGCGAGCGTGAAGATCGGCGTGGTCGTGTAGATCATCTGCGCGAAGGACAGCTGCACGTAGCTGAGGCCCACGTTCCCCAGGGCGATGCTGGCGCAGAAGGTCAGGCTCAGTAGAAAGACCTTGAGCTTTGCAGCGGCAGTCAGCTGACCCCGGGCAGCCGTCACCGCACCCACCAACTGCAGCCGGAGGAGGCCGTAATCCACCACGATGGCCGTCAGCATGTGCAGCGCAGACAGCAGCAGCGGGTACCTGAAGTTGTACACAGCGAAGATCCACTTGTTCAGGCTGGAGATGGTGGTGCCCGTGACGAGCCACACCAGAACTGCGGGCAGCAGGTATAGCATCTCCGGGGAGCTCCTCTTCGGCCTCCTCCACGCGGCCCGGCTCGCCTCATGTCCAGGGAGCCCATCTGCGGGGATCATGCTGGCATCATCGCCTCTTCTGGAAAGCACACACATATTTCCTGAGCAGACTGCTGGCTCTTACGACGTGATCATTATTTTCCTACGCAAACACGTGCCGATGTGAGGCGGGACCAAAGGGACAGGGGGCCGGCTTCCCGAGACATATCACCGGCGCTCCTTTGCCATGTGCGCCATCGGCCAGCCCCGGAAATTTAAATGCCGACACTGACACCGTTTAACATGTTTACCGGACAGGCGCCATGCTGTCGGGCTGCACCAGCAATCATCCCCGATACCTCATCGGCCACATAAAGCAGCCGCTCCGGAGCCACAGGGGCTGTCCGGGATAAATCCCGTTATGGACCGGCCGCTTTAGGCACTGATGGGAGCGTGAATTACGCCGTAAACCGCGGTAATCATTGTACACCATCATCATAAAACATCAACACTCCAGCTCCGCTGCCGTTACCCGCTCCGGTTCCGAGGTCCGAGCCCGCCGCAGGATCAGCGACACCTCTCCACGGCACGACTCGGATGCTGGCGCCGCCTGCCGCCGCCGCCTGCCGCCAGAATGACGGGGACACACCGCAGCATGTAGATCCGCTTTCGGGACTATCGAGCTGCAGCTCCCACACACCGGCAGTGGCACTGACAGAAACGTTAGAGGTTAATCCCGTCGTCGAGAGCCCCGAAAAGCCGCCGTAGTAGGTAAAGCGGGAGATAGACGAGCTGTGGGATGCGGGAATGGGAATGCCCCGCCGCGCTTCTCCTCCAGTAAGCCTCAGCGGATCGGCGCGGTGACGGTCCGGGGGTCTCCGCACTGACACGCAGCGCCGGCTGCATAGGGCTTCGCTCTGTCCCCCACTTCGGCTGTACCAATTGGCGTCCAACTTCTTGGGTCACATGACTCAGTAGACCACGGCGACAGCCGGAAAACATGCAGCACGACTTTCATCAACCCGTGACTCCGAACTGGCCACCAGATGGCGATCTCACATGTTGACAGAAACGATCCATATTTATAGCACTGGATTATTCGATTTATACAAAGCCCTTGAGTATCCCTCTTAACCGCGACGTCTCTCACTAAAGGCAAGATGGAGCTCGTGTCAAGCTGAAACCCTTCCCCACCTCGTAAACACTGAATAAGGTGATCATCTCTGCAGGGGCGAGTATTAGTGGGTGGCCAATAGAGGTGGCTAGTCACCCCTGTAGATCAGCAGGGACAGACACAGCAGATGGCATGTCACAGGAACCAGCCCTACAGCTGTCACTAAAACCAGATTGTGTGGGTCATGGAAACATCCAAGGTACATCAACAGAATTATCCATATGGCTAGTATTTGGATCCGGGGCACAAAGTTTTTGTATATTACTAGTACATATACAGGCCAACAAAGCAATAGAAGCTATTTCCTTTATGGAATGTATGTATATCTTGCAGTCCATTGGTTTGGCTTTTACAGTAGACGGCAGAGCTGAATATCCTCCAAAAATAACCAGAGGAGCACTTAAAAAATGAAAACATTTAATGGTCACTTACAAGGCTTCAGAACCTGTACACAGCATGCATTGGACTGGAACCAAATGTAAAAAAACAAAACAAAAAAGAACAAAAAAAAAACGCAAGTTACAGCGTTAAAGTATTTCCATAAATATGGAGTTAGGAATTTAAAACATTCTTAAAAATGAGTCCTGTGTGCAGCATGGATTTCCACGGGCCGCGTCCGTCAGTAAGGCCGGTCCCTGCGTTCCTGTCGATGCTCCCCCCTGGCAGGTCGAGGAGAGAGACAGACAGAGACAGAGGGCTGTCAGGAGACAGTGTGACCTTTCACCACACACACGTCAGGACTTTAAATAATCTCTGGTTAATGTTACGAGGGACCCAGTGCATGGAAACGGGCCAGACAAATCTGGCATGGGACCCCTCAGGGGCGAGGAGAGCCACCCACTCACTTCATGTCCACCATCTTCCCAGGAGGACCCATGCCCCTCCGGCCGTCCATGAGGGGGCCGCCGCGCCCTCTCGCACCGCCAAAGCCTCCTCTGTCCATGCCACGTCCACCCCTGAAGCCGCCTGGGATGCCACGGTCGCCACCTCGTCCTCCCCGGAAAACTCCCGGCCCCCCAAGGCCCCCAGGAGCGCCTCGGTCCAGGCCGCGGCCCCCGCGCATCCCGGGCCCCCCCCGGCCTCGGTCACCACCTGGGAAGCACAGAGACTCAGAGCTCAGGCAGCGTCAAACCGGACATTCGACCCTCTAAGCAGGTCAATGGGTCCCACCTAAAGTTAGAGGCATCAGCTGCTTACTGTTGCACATCTTTACAGAGTGCAGGGTCAGCCTGTGATGAGTGTGAATGGGGCAGCCACATCGAGCAGGCAGCATGGGGGGCAAGCTTTAAATACACCGAGGCAGGACCACACTGCACACACTCACACCTTAGTGAAGCTTGAGCATTATGGAACTTATTTTTTTTTTGCTTGCAGAGAGCAGTGATACTTTATTCATCTGTGCGTGGAAAGGGCCCTTTTCTCTGAGCTGAGCTTTTTACACGATGCGTGACAGTTACCTGGGGGAGGGAAGGCTGGGGGCCCAAAGGCCTCTGGTTTGGGGGCTTTGCACTGGTTACACTCCATCCTCCACGCAAAGTTCTGGTTCCCACAGCCACTGTGAAGGTACCAGTTTGCAGTGAGAAAGAGCATCACCCTGCTGGCCCGGGTCCCTGAGCACTGGTACTCACACGTTGGGGCACTGCCAATCGCCTGCTCTCTGCTGCATGTTGCCCCCCGAGGGTCCCCCCCTACCCATCCCACGGGGGCCCCCACGGGGCATGAAGCCCCCACGCTCCCCCCCCCGACCCATCATGCCTGCGGAGAGACAGGACAGCAGGGTCAGTCACCCCCCCAGCTCCCAGCCACGGCTTTGGCATGCGGAAGGCAGGTCAGAGGTCGCCTTTTACATACCTCCGCGGCCCATCATGCCACGTCCGTCGCGCATTGGCATGCCCCCGCGCATCATGCCCAGGATGGGTTTTCGCCGTGCCATGGACACCTTCAGCTTCTTCCCTTGGAAGTCCTTGCCTGAGAGGGACGGCATGTCATCACACAGAGAAATCTTGGTGCCCCACGTCAGACTCTCCGATACGAAGCGTACCCTGGACCCTGGACCCCACCCCTGCCACTGACCGTCGAACCACTCCACGGCGGCCTTAGCGGCAGGCGGCTCCTCGTAAGACAGCGTGGCATCACCCTTGTTCTTCCCCGTGTCCTTGTCTGTGTAGAGGGTGATGGCAGGAAGTCCGGTGCGCTTGTTTATCTGGACGGGAAACACGGTCAGTGCCCACACGATAGCGATGGCGAGGAGCCAGCAGGGGGCGCCGCACACCAACCCGAATGGTCCCGCTGTGCTTGAAGAAGTCGGCCATCTCCTCCACGGTGGCACTCTCTGTCAGCCCAGTGATGTAGATGGTGCTGTTCTCCGAGTCGTCCCTCTCCTCCGGGCGCACTGCAGGACATGGGGGGCATCAGCCTGGCCAGCATACAGCCAGAGGGGCAGGGGGGAGAGGGGCAGGCTTCCTGGGTTACTTACTCATGTCAGCATCAGGACCTGGCCATATGGGAAGGAAAGGAGACAGATGAGATGCAGCCCCCCAGGGATGAGCAGCAGGGTTAACACTAGCCAGTACAACACTGCACTTACCAGCAGGCTTGATGTAGCCGCCTCTGTCTCCAGGGCTGCAGGGGGGGGAAGCAGAGAGATGGGTGTCTTACAGCCCCTTTACCAGCAGGCTTCACCCCCCCCCCCAAACACAGAACTCAAGGTATCACATTAAAGGAAACACCTCAGGGTCTCAGCTGGTGACTGCCCAGTATGACATGTGGTCCAGTCCCAATGGGACACCCTTAAGTCCCTTATACAAAATGGCATAGTACTAATACTATGTAAATAGTCTCACATGGAGACCTAATCAAGTCACGTCCGATGGCATTTATGTCGATAGTAAATAATACAAACTGGTGGAGAGATGTGTGTGATTTTATATTTACATTAATTTGCTGCAGAGTACTGTATGTATATCTACCATCCAACTGGAGAAAGTTGGATGCACGTACCCCAGAACCCCACCCCCCCCCACACACTACCCCAGATCTGGTCGTTCTGCGTACCACCCTCCCGTTCAGTAGCACAGTGATCTAACAGGACCTGCTTCCAAAATAATGTGCAGCACAGGACACGTTAAGTCAGACAATAGCAGGTTAGGGGGCAGCTGGGGTTCTCAGATGCTTCTTCAAGTAAATGTTTCACCGGGTGCAGAGTTAAGCACAGAGGGCAGACAGCTGGGGGCGCTGCAGGCCGAGCAGAGGGCAGGCCGAGCACCGCCATTTCACAGAACCAGTGCAAGATCATAGCTGTATTTACATGTTACACTTGAGGGTGACCGGCATTGAGCTGCGTTTCAGCCAGATGCTGAGAGGTTCGCGTACGAGAGCAGCGTGCGGGAGCGGGATGGTCAGACAGAACACAGACTTACCCCATGCCTCCTCGGCCCATGCCCCCGCGCATCATGGCACCCCTGTCGAAGCCGCCCCGCCCCCGGCCCCGGCCGTCCCCGCCGCGGGCCTCCCCTGGACCCCCGTAGCCCCCAAGCTCAGGGCCAGGGTAGCCTCCGGACATTCCGTTGGGGTGCTCTTGCCGATAGTTACCTGGGGAGTGGACAGGGTGAGCAGAGACGGGTGTGGCAAGCTGGCGCACAGAATGCGTCACTGAGTGGAAAAGGCTGTGACTCACCATACTGACTAGGGGCTTTGTAATCATTCTGCGGGCCATAGGCACCGCCGGATGCCCCCTGCTGGCCGTAGGAGCTGGCCTGCGGGGGGTAGCTGGAGGGCGGAGGCTGCTGCAGAGGCTGAGACTGCTGCTGTGGGGGTAGGTTGTGGTATGCTCCCTGCTGGGCATAGCCTCCTCCCTGGCCCTGTGAATACGGGCTCTGCTCATAGTTGGATTGCTGGGACCCAGTACTGTAACTGCACACAGAGCAGAAACAGGAAGAGTCAGCCATGGAGGATAGGAGCAGTTTGGATTGTGTTAGGGTGACTCATCCCCTTAACTTAGGTGGCTTTAAGTGTTTGCTGTAATCCACCCTGACTGATGAACTCTGAAGAGCCCTGAACACTCCCTCATGGGAGATCCCCCCCCGAGGAGCCCTGAACACTCCCTCATGGGAGATCTCCCCCCGAGGAGCCCTGAACACTCCCTCATGGGAGATCCTCCCCCCGAGGAGCCCTGAACACTCCCTCATGGGAGATCCTCCCCCCGAGAAGCCCTGAACACTCCCTCATGGGAGATCCTCCCCCGAAGAGCCCTGAACACTCCCTCATGGGGGACCCCCTGTAGTACTGCTTGGCCAGAGAGAGAAGGCAATTCCTGTGAACAGAGCACCCTCCCTCAGTAAGACAGAAAGAACAGTCTGTCCTTCACCTAAAGGTCAGAGCAACTAGCACAATCAGTGGACCACCCCATGGAACGATCCCACCCCCCCACAGGGGGCGATACATACCTGGAAGGAGGGTAGGATGTCTGGCTGCTCCCAGACTGTGTAGGATAAGAGCCAGACACCTGGGAATAGCTGTAGCTGTTCTGGCTGTAGCCCTGGCCATAGTTGGACGGCACAGGGGGCATGTCAGGACCCTTGTTCACCTCCTGAACCCTGGAAGAGATTCCAGCAGTCAGGCCAGCAGATACATGGCATCATCCGCAGTAGGAGCAGTCAGTGACACTGCTTCAGATTGTTCATATGTTAGTTTATAGTTCCTTGATAATTTCATGGATCACACAAATTAGGTATGAACAATTACCTGGGCGGCGCTGCTGAGCCAGGCTGCTGGCCATAGCCAGCATAGGAGGACTGTGCACCGTATCCCTGACCCCCATAGCCAGCCTGGGAGGATGCGGCAGCAGCCCCCCCCGAATTCCCCTCATAGCCGTTGGACCCATAGCCTTGGCTGGGCTGGCTGTAGCCCTGAGAGGCAGCAGAGCTGGAGCCATAGCCCCCTGGAAGAGCACAAACCAGGCACTCGCATAAGATCTGTGCGTCTTACTAGCTTATGCACTTCGGCAAATCAAACAAAACACTCACCTGCTGCTGGAGGCTGCTGTCCATAAGAGGACCCATAGCCCTGCTGGGCATAGCTGCCCGCAGAGCTGCCTGTCTGCGAGTACGCTGCTTCAGCTGGCTGACTGTAGGACCCATAGCCCTGCTGCTGGCCATATGACTGCAGAGACACAGAAATAAGCCAATGAGTCCACCGGGAATCAGCCAGCAGCCCAGCACTAATCTTGCTTTGGATTACTGTCTGTCTAGATGCACGGTCACTTTATTCAAAGGATTATTTTG